CCTGATGAAAGTAAAACTTAATACGAAGAACCGGGGAAACATGAATATTTATCTCGTCGTTGTGTTCCCCGTGCGATAAACAAGAACCCAAGTAGAAATACCAACCGCTTATCAGGCAATAATTCCATTTCTGAATTTCCTCGAAAACAAAGTTTCGCGCGAGGAAACTTCATTCTGTTTCCTTTTTTCTTTCGTATAAATAAAATTTCCTCTTTTCTGTTTGCATCACCAAATACGTATAAGTATCCTACGCTTCGTCGTTTTTTCTTTTTCTTCTTTTTTTTTTTTTTATCACGCCAGAGGCAGCTTTGCTTCTTCGTGTTTAAACATCTAGCTGCTGGAAAATTTCAAAGCTGCCTGGTCTATGAACGAAAGTAGCGAGAAACAGACGATTGAATTTCGTCGTTCACCTTTCATAACAGTTTCGCTCGATCGTCTCGGAAAGAGGTGGCGTTTGCAACGATCGGTGGGTATCACGCGATCCCGGAGCTTGTTTTTGAATGCAAATGGCCGGGAGTAACGAGGGGTAGGGCGAACTTGGGAATAAGAACAACCAGATAAGCGAGTATGTAGACAGAGATCTCTGACTTTCGAAAGTACCCAGTTGGCGCAATGCTAAAATAGTCAAGAAGTCGTGTAATCTCACGGTATTCTATGCGTTTTGTTATTCTAACTTCGTTTGAAACTCGGATTGTTCGCTCTGGCATTAAATTGATATTGAAATCGGTCGTATTTTTCTAAATCGACTAGGGAAAAAACACTATCATCTCAGTTCGTCGTGAAAAATAGATATTCATTGAACTGAAGATTTTAAAATGATTTGAAATTGTTCATGATATTTTTCCTTTTTCTTTTTTTTTTTTATTACATATTTATGTTCATTAGATAACGTTGTAAGTTTGATAATAGGATGTAGTGAACGAATCGTATCATGTAAGAAATTAATATCTGTCACGCGTGATTACGATCGAGAGTTTGAATCGTATTCATTGCGATTCGAATGTGCGTCGTCAAACGTACAGCGCAGATTCGAAACGATTCAAAGTGTCTCCGATCCCATCGCTTGCTGTTTGCAACTGATTTACGATCTCGAAGCGTTATGATATAACCAACAGCGGCGGCCTTTTTTCGTCAGCGACGGATTGGCTGCTCGCCAAAGGCACATGTCACGAAGGTGCCTGTTAGAAGGATTTCGCCGGCCGTGATCCTGGATTAAACTTTTTAGATTATCCGCAATTTCCTTCCTCCACTCTCTGTATAGCGTAGAATTGAGAGGGCAGGGCACGACACGCGATCAACAAATAAAACCCGGACTTTATCAATGTCTCAGTACCGATGTCGAGCAACATTTAATGGCTTTGCGAGTCACTAGTTTACACTCTTAAGTATCGAGCTGTTTGAGTATCTTTACGCGTGCTGGGAGTAATAGTAATTATTTACAAAGAGGATATTTCCTTTTTTTTAAGGCGAAGGAAATTTTTATAGATCGTATGGAATATTTATCAAATTTGTCGGTTGAAATCTCCTCGAATTTCTAACCTAAACTCAAATGTCACGAAAAACACGAACTATCTTGTACGTAATATTTCAAAAACAGGAAAAGTAAGGAAAAAATTGTAGAATCACACCCTCGACAATATATTTCTCATCATCGTTGGAATCACTGGGGTGTACTTCTTTATAAATAATTATCGAAGTAGAACTATGAACATGCAGTTCTGCGACTGGACGAAATTTTGAGCAGAGGACAGACGTCAAGTTTTACGTGAAATCTGTCACGAAGATCTTCTTGGCACGTTGTTGCGAATCGAATTTAGATTTAAAATCGAACGTCAGTGGAAAGCAAAGAAAGAGATCTGGAACTACAAACAAAATTGTGACATTCCAAATTAATAATATGGTTAATGATATTTTTTATGAATCCAATCTGGTTATTTTCTGATCGCATCTCGTATTGCTTCGTTCGTCGTCAAACGCTGCAATATGATCTTATTCATGTACATTTCTGCTCAAAAGTTTTGAGGCACTTTGTTATTTTAAATATTCATTATTCATCGTAAATAACGAAATTTTCAGTTGCGCATCGTGTTTTATAATACGAACATTTTGTCGTATAATCCTTACGAGAATGTTGGTCGATAAGTCTGCGTCTGTATTATTTTTATTCATTCAATTCACAGCGTAGCTCACGTCACTAGTGTCCAGGGTATTCATATAACTTGTTTGTTCAAAAGTATACGCGAAAATAGAAATAATTCCTCGCGTGAAAGGGCCGTGAAACAGGAAACTGTACAAAAATATCGAGCACTGCCGATCCAACAGAACTAAAAACAAAAAAGGGAAAATATGTTAGACCTCGACATATTCAATAAATAAAACTTTTCGTTATATATGAATACAATTTCCTCTGAAGATACATGATCAGCGAGAACCCGAGATATTTTTTAAACTCGAATTACAATGTTAACCATTATACCACTTTATTTCTCAAAAACAAAAAAAATAAATAAATAAATAGATCCATCTCGAAAGGAATAAAGTACCATCTGATGTTTCCACTTTTGAAATAAATGTAATACACTCGTCCCAAGACCTTCGAGCAGAAGTGTATGTATGTGACTCGTTTTTACGATCATATTAGATCCATCCGAAATAACCAAGTGAATCCAAGTATTTCTTCCAAGGAGGGGGAGGGGGAGCTCCATTCTTCGTTTCTCCCCTTCGCAGCTATACTGATTTCCATCCCTCGACCCGTTCGTATGAGTCATTCGATCGTTGTCTCCTTGCGAACGATCAGGCCGGGTTCGTCATTGGATCGCTGGTGGGCGAGGTAAGCTCGTTTATCAAGATAAAAGCTAGCTGCGCGTGAGTCCGAAGAAAGTCGTGGAAAACGACGCACGGGGAACGTCGCACGAGAATTGAAAAGGGAACGGATACACCACCGGCACGATATTCCCGGTGAAAGTATCATAAAAGTATCGGTTGTCTGTTTTATCGTCCACTTCCTCCGTTGTCACGAAGGGAATCGAAAGAAGTAGATATAACCCCTCGAATGAAGGATCAGTTGTCTCTGTTACCAGAACGAACGGAACTCTCTCTCTCTCTCTCTCTCTCGTCTCTCGTCTCTCTTCCTTCGCTGAAAGTCGTAAGGACGCTCGATTGAAAGTTCAAAGATGGAACTCGCCTTTTAGCTAGGGATAGAAAGAGAAAGAGAGAGAGAGTGAGTGGATGGAAGGGCACGTTCGTCGGATCCTCGCTACGTTGAGTAGATGATACTTGGCTGTCGGCGAGGGAGGAAAACTTGGGAGGAATGTTTCTCATTTCGTGAACGGCGAAAGAATGTTGTGCTTCGCTGGATAGGAGAGATGATGATCGGTTCGTCGAACAAGATATTTTATCTACGATGGCGTTCGGTGGCTCGTGCAGTTATGATACGCCGTGACAAGTATTCTCGGCCATCTCCCATCGCGTAATTCCTTTCTCTCGTTAACCTCAGCATGTACGGGTCGACGCAGAAACGATGTCGAAATTTATCTCCAAGAGCAAGATCATTGTCTTCGTTCTACAGAGTATCTCAGTTTTTCCTGGCCGAACCTTCTACGAGTCAGAAAGTCATACGAACGTAAATGATTAAAGAATTGTTTTAATAGAAAACAAAATGTGAAAGAGGCGATAATGGAGGAAAATACGATGCAAAGATCGAGCTGGAATATAATATAATAGAATCCATTATGTTATATTATATTACTGCAATAAAATGTCTTGGAAAATACATAGTTTGGGTAAATTTGGACAAAGGGAATTCTACTTAGTTATTAGTAATTAATACGCAATATTTTGTTGTGTAATTATAGTTGGAGTTTAAAAAATATTGTGATATCTTCTAATATATAAAATATATTTTATATATATATTTTTATATATTTTATATATACCGATATACTATATTAATTGCTATAATTATTATAGTATATTATAATTTATAGTAATAATTTATTATTATAATGTATTATAATTTATAGTAACAATTTATTATTATAGCGTATTATAATTTATAGTAATTTCAAGCATACTATATTTAATAATAGTCAATAGATGTCACATTACATTGTAAACTGCAATGTCATTTCTGCCAATAAGACTTTAACAGCGCTGAAAATTGAATTTAGTACTCCTTGAAATTTATGTTTCATTGTCATTCAGCGAAATGAACAATTTACTCTTCGAATTAAATGTCTAACGAAGTACCTTCTTCTTATACAACTTCTTCATGTATCTCATACCCCGCTGGATCGTTTTCAATTTTTTAGCGCTGCTAAAAGAGACTGCAAGTAGCTCTTCTTCTATCTTCACTGAAAGTATTTACTCACTCGTTGAAAAGCTTTAGAGCCTTCTGAATAATTCAGTCTATTACCATATTTTCTACGTCACGATGTAAATACGAATCACGAAGGGAAGAGAGAATGTATAAGAAAGAAAAAAAAAAAAATAGGATTACATTTTCATCTCTCTATTTTACTGTATGTTACGAGTTTGTAGATGTAAAAATGAACATTAGACATGTGCATTAATAAACGTATCACAGTTTATTTTAGTATACTATTACAGTATGTTATTATGAAATAACAAGAGAAGTTTTTCGCAACAGTTTGCAAACATCGAGTGTCTTAAACATAACCGAAAATGTCAGTATCCTAGTTAATTCGAGTAATTCGGAGCATATGATGATTTATTTTTGAATCGTCACGAAATGAGACAAATTACTCGTTAAAAACTGCGTGTCAGTACAGCGATTAAGAATAACCAAGAAAACGATATAATTAGCGAGTCACATAGAAATCAAAATGACTTTCTACAGTCTAATGCTGCACTTATCCTTTCTTAAGGGCGATAAATATTGCACAAAGCTAAAACACTCGATTCTCTTTACAATTTCTCAGTAACGAAAAGCTCGAAGGCTCGAAATCCAAGTTGACAGATTTGATTTATTCTGACTGCAGGTGGAGGAGGACTGGAAATATGTGGCGATGGTGCTCGACCGTATCTTCCTCTGGCTATTCACGGTAGTCTGCGTGCTGGGCACGGTGTTCATTATCCTGCAAGCGCCGAGTCTCTACGACACCACGAAGCCGATCGACATCAAGTACAGCAAGATCGCGAAGAAGAAGATGATGCTGTTGAACATGGGTTCCGAGGAGGACTAGTCGACGATCCCGCGCGGCTCCGCGCCGCGTCCACAGCGGCAGCTGCTACGCTGTCATCGTCATCGTTGTTGCCACCGTCGTCGACGGCGTCGTCGCCGTCGCCGTCGTCGTCGTCGTCGGCGTCGTCGTCGTCGTTGTCGCCGTTTTCGTCGTTGTCGTCGTCATTGTCGTTGTCGTCGTCATAATCGTCGTCGTCGTCGTCGTCGTCGTCGTCGTCGTCGTCGTCGCTGTTGTCGTTCAGCGGCCGCCGCCCATCATCGAAACTGCCGATTTTCGCGTCGACGTGCAAGAGGACCCTCTCTCGATCGCTGCTGCCGGAGATGATGAAATCTCCGCGAGGAACAGTGGAAACAAGGAGGCAGAAATCGCGAAGGCGTGGATCTTTCCCTCTTGGAACTGTGGACGCGATCCGATATTCGGGTCTCGATCCCTGGGACTCGTTGAAACGCGAGATGAGAGTGGAGTGATTCGCGGGAGGGAAGAGGGAGAGAGAGAGAAATATGAGAGAGAATCGTGTGCACGGACGAGAGTGATCGGGATGAGCGTGTGAGAGGGATGAAACGAGAGAGAGAGAGAGAAAGAGAGAAGGATGGATGAAGCGAATGGGGGTGCGAAAGAGGTGAGAGCGCGATTGAATGAGGAGAGAGGAGAGGATTCGGGGCGGGGGGTTGGGAGGGGGAGGCAAGAGAGAGAGGAGAAAAAGTGCCAAATACGCGAAACACACGCGCAACGTATTTTTGTAAATCTGGTTTCATACGTAAGGCTAGAGTCGTGCGGCGAGACGTCGAACTGCCCGAACTGCCGATTTTATATAAGAAGACGTTTAAAGAAACAAACACGTACACGTTATATACACGCACGCATATACGTACACACAAGCCACGAGCAGGAACACGTATACGAAGGGATATATACGTATACATTCGTGATTCTTGCATACATACGCGCACACGCATACGTACAGGCGACATCCACACACACACACACACACGTACACACACGGGTTTCACACTTGCGCAGAACGAGCATGTTAACATTTATACGTAACGAAAGAAGCTAAAACAAGAGAAACATAAGAAGAAGAGGAGGGAGGAGAAGAGGAAGAAAAAGAAGAAAAAAAAAGCATCAAGGAAAGAAATGAATCGTGAGAAAAAACACACGCATGCACATCCGTTCGCGGTGTGCGTACGCAAGGTGCACACATAGGTATTATAAAGAGAAAAGAAAAAAAAAAAAGAATTATACATCCATTACGTGCGTAGATATAACTCGACGATCTCAGTAAACGCGTATGAGCACACAACGCGATATTCATCCGCATATTTCTCGACGCATCGTATAATCACGGGGTGCGCCGCGCTCGCGCGGACACGACACACGCCACACGCACAACCGAGCATAGAAACGCGAGCTGGAAACCATAGGGAGAGCTTGGCGCGAGAAACGTACGACGAAGGAGGATTCTTCGGACTGGAGAATTGCTGGCAATGGTAAAGAACGAGACTCGTTGTCGTCGTCGTCGTCGTCGTCGTCGTCGTCGTTGTCGTCGAGCCGGTGATTATCGTGCCAGGAAACGTGTGCTGCTCGCTCAAGCAACGAGAGACTCGAAAAAAGAGAGAGAAAAAGAAAGAAAGAGAGCACGAACTGAAAATTTCCCTCGTTTCTCGCCCATTCCTTTCTCCATCTGCATTTTCTTTCTTTTTTTTTTTTTTTTTTTTTCTTTTCTCTCGTTTTAGCTTAAACTCGATCGTCGAACGAAGTAAATGTGGCGCAAACGTGTGTAATATCTCCGTCGGAATAATTTCTTTTTAATTCCTCGAACTTTGTTCCTTGTCATTTTATCCTCCTGTAAAAAGAAAAAAATTGTTTAACCGAAATTATTCAGTCGAGTCTCGTGGTTTGAATGTTTAGCACACGGCCTGGTGCGTCGATCTAGAATAATGAAAAATCAAGCGATCGATCGAATAATTTTCTCGGCGAGCAAGCTATTCGTCCAGCAACCGACTCTTTCGTCGTGCGTGTTCTCGACGAAATATAACGAGGAGAGAGAGATAGAAGAATCGCGAGCAGAGAAGCTCGCAAACAACTGCCAATTTTAAGAGCAACGGACTTTGATTGATCCGATTCCTAGAAGCGAGCAAGCATCACCCAGATAAAATTAAAAAAGCAAACGATGTTTTTGTAGCGAGATCACGAGTCTTTTTTATTTATCGAGATGAAGTTTGAGATGATCGTGAAGAGAACTCGGCGAATTTTCAACCAGTAAATCGCAGAAATATTCGCCAAATACACACGAAATCCTGAGATACCGTGGAGAAACTAATCAATTATCTTCATTCGTGACTCCATCGAGTGCGTTCAAATCTCTGATGAACTTTGTCTATCCACTCTTCGTTGTCGAAGAATCCTTCGACAAGATTGAATCTGCAATTGTCGTTTCCTGCTTATTTAACTCTTCAAAGATGAAGACCGAGTTTGTGATCTTCTCTCGAGTGGAGGAGATTCACGTAAAATTCTATGAAAGTGTTCAACTTTCTTCTTATTTAAAATCAATTCAACTTTTATTTCACGTGCTGGCATTCCTCGTGCATCGTGGATAATTGATATTATTGGATTTTATACAACAATTTTGAATTTCGCTATTGACATTGATAATTTAAAATACAGAAATAGAATCAGATATCGAAAATTTTAATAGACTAACGTAAATTACTGTAATATAGTGATACTACTTTATCTTATGTTTTGAGGTCCGCATGTTGGATATTTTACGAAGAATTACATCTTTCTTCATACTTGGATTTGCTCGGCAAATTGATAAAATAAGAAGAAATCTGACGGTTCATATCTTTTTTTATTCCTTTTACCTTTCAAAAATAGCACGCTTGAACTACTAAATTAACCCAGTACCAAAATAATTTAACATTTATTTTTTATTCTCTTTTCCTACATTTAACTTATTAATTCTGTAATAAATTTCTAATTTGTTTACTTTCTGCTTGCATCTTTTGTAACTTTAGTTCCGTAACTTTGCACGCCTGTCCCGTATAAATAAACAAATTGGGAAATCAAATTAAATTGAACCTATCGATCGAAGATTGGCAAAGCTCACGGATTATACATCATCATCGAGCGCCGTTCTTCATCGTTACTCGCTGCACAAAGGCAGCGGAAGTCGGAGATTCGTCGAGTTTCCGCTCCTTCGACTCTGGATCTTGCGACTGGCTCGTGCAAGCGGATCGATACGAGCAGCGCAACGAGGGAAACGACCAACAGACGATGGAGTGTAGTAGCAGGTTCGAAGGAGGAATACGGTGTCTTTGGCTCTGTGTCTCCCAACGAAAACAAGATCACCGGATGCTGTTGGGATGCAAGCGCGCCGATACATCGGAGTCTAGAAACAGAGGACGTCGAAAACGCGATTACTTCCCTTTGATCGACCCAAGGATCCACCGTTCGGTATCGTCTTACCCTGAAACTCCTTGTGTATGATGAACTACTCGCTTCTAGGGACGTACGAAAGGATCTACGAAAGGTCCGACGGATGCATAAATCCCGAAGGCGTTTCGAGACGTTAGAATTCCTCGAATTCCACCGATAAACGTCGTTCCTCTCGATCCACAAGGGAGGAATCTCATTTCGATACGCAGCCTTGGTACATTGATATTTCTACGATATTTCCGTGTTATCGTCGAACAGCCGTTCTAACGTCTCGTGAACCTTCCTTCTCCAAGGGTCTTTCGACGTATTCGGAACTTTTGGATAAAAAAAAAAAAAAAAAAAAAAAAAAAAAAAAAAATAAAGAGGAACTCCAAAGTTCTACGAACTCACGCTTAAGCCATTCAGTCTTTCAGAAGCATCGACCATTTTCCGGTTCGAAAACGCAACGCTCAAAGCGTGCCCGACTCGAACGATTTTATCGATCCACAGAATGACCCACCGTCGATTATCGCCCGATCGTTTGGACACATGCAAAAGGAGCGAACGTGAGGGAAAGCAGTGGAGGAAAGTGTAGACACACGAAGCTCGTGGGTGGGCGCGCGAGCGCGTCGAACGCGCACACTCGTGCATACATACACACACACACACACACACACACACACACAGAGAGAAAGAGAGAGAGAGAGACATTGTTCGTACACACTTGACAATGAAGAGCGACGAAGGAGACGAAGGTGGAAGCGGGAGCGTCCCAGTGGGATGGATCGGGGAGAAAAAATGTAACGTGCCATCCAGGCGCTCCCTCTGTCCGCCGAACGGTATAATAATCAATTTATTTGCTCACGTAAAGGTAACAGTATTATATATACATATATATTTAATATGTGCATATTAGGTATAAACAGGAGAGTTAATCACACGAGAGAGTAAAAACCGAGGACGATTCACTCGGGCAGCCCCGTGGTGTGTGAGGGTCGGCGCCGGTGTATATTGGTGGTGGTGGTGGTGGTGGTGGTGGTGGTGGTGGTTGCTAAAATTGTGTGCAGTGTGAGGACGTATTTATTAATAACGCCGATCCATGGAACACGATGAACAACGCGAGTGTGCGAGTGTGGAGGAAAAGGGGGAAGCGCGGACGATGATCCCGATTCGCCGATCATCCGGATGATTTTCGTTCGTTCGTTTTCGTGAATTTCTCGAGGGGGGGGGTGGAAGAGGAGAGGAGAAACGTTCGCGCGGTTTCGGCCATTCTTCGGACATAACGCTGCGAGGATTAACTTTACTACATACACACGGCGTTGGAAACCGTGCTTCGCCGAGAGTTCGGCAAACTGCCATCGCGTGTAAACGTTTATGAGTTATGGCTGCGCTGTGTACTATATAACGGTGTGATATATGGTTTCGTTAGACGCGTTCCCGCGTTGTCGAGACAATCCAAGTTGGTTTTTGCCTGATTTCGGGAACTTTGACGGTGAATCTTTTTTTCCCTTTTTTTTTTTTTTTTGCTCGGATTTATTTCTATTCTTCTTCTTCTTCTTCTATTTTTCTTTAACGTCACAGCGAGGTCATTAGATATGTGTGCAGTAGTTTATGTTTTTGAGATATTTTAATACTTTTTGTATGCCATTTTTTGAGAAGCCAGGTTTACGTTTGCGTTGATTCCGTATTTCTGTCTTTGGATTTCTGTGGTGTGGCATTCTTCTAAGTTTGAATTTAATAAGATTTCAGTAGAATCATATTTGTTCGAAATTACAATGGCCACTCCTCCGCTGGCGTGGTTTTCGTTTACCCGGTTTTTGACGAAGGTGTTGAACTGTTTTAGTTTATAATAATAATAATAGTAACTATTCCTATTATTGTCGTCGACTGGGAATTATATTTAATTTTTAGAAAATATTTTGTTACGACGAAACTTCGACGAGAGCTCAGTTTTCTTTTCATGGTATTATGCAGCGCGATTGAGATGATATTCGTTTTATTTTAATCATTCTGAAATGTCCTTTACCTGAATTCGAAAAACCGATCGTTGGCCTCTGATCAACCCTCTATAACCCATACGTGTGCACAATTTGAAAATTTTACTTTGTATATATTTCACCGTTCTATTTCTTTAACCCATCGACACGAACAATACGAAGTAAATCATTTACAACAATCGTCAATTCTCATTTTAAATTGAAACGAACAGTTATATGTCTGTAGTATAAATAATGCAATTAGACAATGATCTTCCTCTTTCATTCTGGCTATAGAGGCTATTTTCTTTACGTAACAATCGGCCTTTTACAACCGCCAGTCGCGGTGTTTCCAACGTAACGTCTACTCGCGAGTTTTGTTCATTCGAGGAAATTGTCGTGCCGCAGCGTCGTTTCGCCGTTGTTCGCATTTTCTGACTTCCCGTTTCGAGTTTATTAATTTACGACCCGGCTTAAATCAGACTTCAAACGCGGCCACGCAACCAGCCTTGTGACGTTATTACGCGAACGTCACGCGGCTACGTAATGCACGTACTGCCGCGTCCTCGGAATTACACGCGTCACGTAACGATTCCCTTTTTTACTGTTTTTTTGTTCTCTCTCTCTCTCTCTCTCTCTCTCTCTTTCTCTCGCTCTCTCTCGATCCAACGAACGTCAAAAAACGATACGGATCCATGCTCGGGGAAAGGTTGTTCAATCGGATTTCCATCCGTGCAATTGATTTCAACGAGAATTCGTCCGGCATTCGATTACGCGGATCGACGGATTTCCCCGGCTGATTACAAAATAACCGAGCGCGCGTTTGCGTCAAACAAGCAACGACACGGCCGGCTTTTCAATTCGGGAGAGCGACGCTTGCAAACGTGTCGCGACAACCGCGGCACCGTTATGTTATGAAATTTATTATTTCGCCAGTTTGGAGAAAGTGATCCGCGAAATATAAACCGGCTGTTGAAGAATTACTTTACGCGAAAAGTTACGACGTTCTCTCTGTTTAATTCGCTCGAGTTTTTCTTTTTTTTTTTTTTTTTTTCCGTTAGAAAAGAAAGGGAAGACAGGGAAAGAGAGGAGGAAGGAAAGAAAGTGGCGTGTAACGCGTGAAAAAGTTAATCGACCTAAACGTGTACGGATTGCAGGAACGCGCAAGCGGGCGTAATTTCAACAATAAACAAAAACAATGGCGGAACGACGGCCATTGTTCCGCCAGAGGCCGCTTTTCTCCCCTCCTGCCAACCCGTTGCTTCGTCGACAATTGCCGCAACATTAATTGATACGATTAACGTTAAGAACGGGAGAGAGAGAGAGAGAGAGGGATGTAAAAAATAAAACAGAGGAAAGAGAAATTAAATCGTTGGACGCAAAAAACGAAAGGACACGGTTTAAACGAAGGGAGAGTTGTTACGCTAATGATCAAACGATAGTACGTTGTTGTCGTACGTTTAAGTTGATACTCGTTGGTAATAAACGATCCGTGACAATGAAACGCAACACGACGAAAAAAAAGAAAGAAGATCAACTGGAGCTTGATCGGCCTGTAATAGTCGTCGTCGATTCGATCCGCACGATTCCATTCACGCGGCACCATTTTCACGATCGTGTCGATGTCGACAACAATCGGCAGGCTCGAGCAATCAAATCGATCGATCGCGAAGCGATTCAGCTTTAAACCTGTGTAAATTGTAATAACGTAACGAACGTAACGCCGTGTAACGTTATGTTTTAGCCGTGACACGTGGTGATCGCGTATCGTTGCGATCCACACGCGATCGGGATGGTTGTTTGATCAGAGAAGGGCTCTGGCTTGTGCGCCAACGGGAATCGAAGCCTCTGTAAACGTTGTCGTGCCTGTTCGTCCCTCGCGCAGCGAACATTCACCCTAAAAAATCGTCGAACGATTCCGATCACGTGCTTTCAACGCAAAACGAAAAGGTTTCTTGGCTTGTTTTTTTTTTATTATCCCTCCCCACTCCCTCTTTTGCTCTTCTTTCGCGTTTCTAATTACTGCTGTTCGTTTTCCTTTCTTCGCCAGATCTTTTGTCTTTCGTCCAACGTTTCTCGAAAAACCAGATAGGTAAACAAAATCCAGCGAAACGTAATTACTCCGTTCGCGCACGAGTATTCATCGGGTATCCGTTTATCTTATCGCCTCGGTTAATTCAAACCGAAACAGAA